AAATTTTCTCTAAGTCCGAAGTGACTTATCAGAGAGGGTCTGATTCTGATGACAGAGAAAGGCTGGTTCTGATATCAGAACTGGCCTTGGCAGCGGATTCTGATCTGTCCGGGTAGCCTCAGAAACACTAAGGCAAATGCCTTTCTGATAACTCTGAAAACGAGATCTGCTGAACACAGATTCCAAGTTTTAGAATTAATCAGTTAATATCCTAAGTGCAGAAATATAAATAGCAGTAAAGTAAATGACACCGGATATTTTTATAGTGGTTCAAGGAACAACTCGTTCCTCTAGTCCACTGTTCCACTAGCTTTGAAGTAGATCGGTTACAAAGCTAATTCCCTAGCACTTAAGAAGCACTCCTCGTCTTCTTCAAGCCTAGATGCCACCCAGGATGCAGTTCCACGTCCTGATGGCTGGTCCTTTCACTCAGCTTCCCGGAAGTATCACCACTTCACTACTGCAGTTACTTGGACGCCCTTCTTTTCAGAAGATCCTTTGAAAAACAGAGTTTTTCTCTCCAACTTGCTTCGTTACAAAGGATGTTTGATGAAGTTCTTGAAGTGTTGAAGAACAGGATGAACTTTGCTTGTTTGTTGGGGATGAAAGATTTGGAGTTTGAATCTTCCCAACGTAAGCTTGTCTTGTTGAAGGTTGTAGAATTTTAACCTCAAGAGAGCTTGAATGATGAGCGAAAGTTGTAGCAAAGTTATTTTTCAGTTCTTCGGTATGTAGCTTATATACGGAGGTTGTCTGCCCGTTGGAGGAGGAGACAACTGCATTAAATGTGCGTACAGTTGACTTGACCGCCGTTTTTGGAAGGTTTCTATTTTTAAAATATATCTTCCCGGAATTCTTGGTCAATCATTTGCAATCAATCCTTCAGCGTATCAGGCTCATTTAATGTGCATTAAATGCTTTCCTTTCATGCACAGTCTTCTAGCCGTTGGATGTTTTTACTCGTTGGATTCATAGCTGTTGGATGTTGCTTGAAATCTTCTAAGTGTTAGTCGGGCTCTGATCAGGCTCTTCTGATGTGTTGGATTCTGATGGCTTACTGATGAGTTGAGTTCTGATGGCTTTCTGATCTCTGACTGAGCTCTAACTCTGATAGGTCCGCTGATGAGTACTTCTGATCTGTAGTTCTCATCGGCTATCAGATGTCCAGGTTTATCAGCAACTCTCATGATGCAACTCTGATGGACTTCTGGTAAGAGAACTCTGATGGAGCAGTTCTCATAGAGCAAGTCTGGTCGAGCAGTTCTGATGCACTTCTGATCTGATCCAAAATAGAGCAACTCTGATCGTCGACTACACTAATACTTACAATTGAAAATTCTAATACATAAAATCTAATTTGGGGGTATTCTAACTTTCTAATCCTATAGCATCATCAAAATCTAATTACATTTATTCCTTACAATCTAGACCCAGATGAATATAATATGTGGTCCCGAGGATATCGGGTGCCCCCACCTCTGGTGTCGGCCCCACGTGAATTTTACTATTCACGCAAAAGAAATGATAAAAATTTACAATCACGTAAAATGCGTTTATTCATTTCTCATGGTTCAATACATAATTTGATAAAGTACAAATACTTGGGGGCGGTGTTACAAGTTCTACCCCCCTTATTTGGGATTTCGTCCCCGAAATCCACGTGTCTTGTCAAACAGAAATGAATATTGTTAAATGAATATTGTTCCCTTATCAGGGTCACCACTTCCCAAGTTTTCTTCTCGACCCGATCACTTTTCCAAAGTACTTTAACCATCGGTACCTCCTTGCTTCTTAGCTTCTTTACCTGTCGGTCTATGATCCTTACCGGTTGCACTGCATAATGTAGATCTTCTCAGACTTCTACCGGCGGTTTCTCAAGAATATGTGACGGGTCCCGTACATACTTCTTGAGCATAAAAACATGAAACACATTATGAATCTTTTCCAACTCTGGAGTTAACTGAAGTCGGTACGCTACGACCCCAATTCTTTCAATGATTTTGAATGGGCTTAAGCTTACCCCGACTGAGGAATCTGATGATCCCTTTCCAAGATGACACCCTCAGAAATACCTCATCGCTGACCTCAAACTCCAACGTCCCCCGACATTTATCTGCATAGCTCTTCTACCGATCTTGGGCAGCCTTGAGTCTATCCTGAATAACCTTCACCTTCTCCTTGGTGATCTCAACTAGCTCGATGCTCTCAAGCTTAACCTCGCCTACCCCATCCCAACACAAAGGTGTCTGAAATTTCCTCCCATACAATGCCTCGTATGGGGGCATGCCTATACTTGCCTGATAACTGTTGTAATAGGCGAATTCCTTGAAACTCAAGGGCACATGCCCTCAACATGTCCTCCAAAATCTGAATCACCCGTTCAGACTGTCCATCCGTTTGAGGATGAAATGCTGTGCTAAACCTCAGCTTTGTACCCATAGATTCCTGGAACTTAGGCCAAAACCGTGATGTGAACCGTGGGTCTCTATCCGATACTATAATAACTGGAACCCCATGCAGTCTCACGATCTCGTCAGTGTACAACTTGGCCAGTCGCTCAAGCGTATATGTAGTGTTGATAGGTATGAAATGAGCACTCTTGGTCAGCCTATCAACTACCACCCATACCGCGTCATAGTTCCTAACCGTCCGTGGCAGACCCACCACGAAATCCATAGTAATATGCCCCCACTTCCATTCTGGAATGGTAAGTGGCTGTAGTAACCCCGCTGGGTGTTGGTGCTCTGCCTTAACCTGCTGACAGGTAAGACAACGGCTCACGTATTCTGCAATCTCTCTCTTCATCCCCGACCACCAGTAATTTTCTTTCAAGTCCCGATACATCTTTGTACCGCCTGGGTGCATGACATACGCGGATGAGTGAGCCTCCTCAGGGATAGATTTACGGAGCTCCTCATCCGATGGCACACACACCTGCTCCTTGAATAGTAAGAGTCCATCTTCTCTCTCACGGAAACCCTCGACGGGCCCCACAAGCATTCGATCCCGGATTTCCTGAAATTCCTCGTCATTGCCTTGACACATTCTGATTTGCGTCTAATAAGGTGGGTCTCACCTCAAATCTGGCCAATAAGGCCCCATTCGTGGATACCTCCACGTGTGCCCTCAATACTCGTAAGCACGTGAGTAAAACCCCTGATGAACTCTTCCTACTAAGAGCATCGGCTACCACATTAGCCTTACCTGGATGATAATCAATAATCAAGTTGTAATCCTTGATCAACTCCATCCATCTTCTTTGCCTCATGTTCAACTCTTTCTGAGTGAACACGTACTTCAAACTCTTGTGATCAGTATAGATGTGACACAATTCACCGTAGAGGTAGTGCCTCCAAATCTTCAAAGAAAACACCACAGCTCCTAGCTCTAGGTCATGTGTGGGGTAATTTATTTCATGCTTCCTCAGCTGCCGAGAAGCATAAGCAATTACCTTACCCCTGATTGCATCAGTACACACCCAAGCCCCTGGATGCTAGCATCGCTATAAATGTCATACCCTAACCCCTGTCTGGCTAGAGCAAGTACTGGTGCTTCAGTCAATCGTTTCTTTAGCTCAAGAAACCCCTTCTCACACTTGTCATCCCACACAAACTTAGCCCACTTTTTAGCGAGCTTCATGAGTGAAGACGTTATTACTGATAACTTCTCCACGAACTTGCTGTAATACCCCGTTAAACCAAGAAAACTCCTTATTTCCTTCACATTCCTGGGCCTCTCCCAATTAGTGATTGCTTCAATATCGAGTTATCAACTGAAATGTCCGAGCCCGATACCACATGCCCGAGAAAACCGATCTCCCCAAGCCAAATTCACATTTAGAGAATTTGGCAAAGAGTTGCTTCTCCTGCACTGTTTCAAACACAAACCTTAGATGTCTCTCGTGTTCTTCTTCATTCATGGAATATATCAAGATGTCATCAATGAACACTATGACGAATTGGTCCAAGTATTGATGAAATACTCGGCTCATGAGGTCCATGAATGCTGCGGGGAAAAGAGACGAACGGGGAAAAGAGAGAGGCGAAGTGCATGTTACTTTTTTGTCCAGAGAAATAATGGTCATATTTTTGTCTATCTAAACTGTCCAAGTAATATTCTTGCCATTCTTTCTTTTACATACTCCGTATAATTTTTTCTCTATATTATTAATAAAATATATTTTAAAAATAATTTTTTCTTAAATTAGCAGAACCAACCAATAATGCAGCCACTTCAGTCAGAACTTCATAAATTTCAGCAGGATCAGTCAAATCAGCCGATTTTCGTGCTATCAAAAGGACTTTATGAAAATTAATCAAAGAGCCTGTTTGGTAGCACGAAAATCGGCTGATTTGGCTGATTCTGCTGAAATTTATGAAGTTCTGGCTTAAGTGGCTGCGTTGGTTGATTCTGCTAATTTAAGAAAAAATATTTTTAAAATATATTTTACTAAATAAAATAAAGAAAAAATTATATGTAAGAATAGCTAAAATGATCATCTACGGTAACTCTAGTCAATACGTCCAGAAAAGTAACTCCAATCTTACTTTTTCTACTTATTACACAATTCAGTGCGCGAAAGCAAAATTACGTGTTTGTTGAAAAAGTTGGCTGATAAGCTGAAAAACAGTGTTGCCAAATGGCCTCTAAGTTATTACCAAACACGCTCCAAGTTATTACCAAACGCGCTCGAAAACCGAAGTGTTTGAACTGTACCCACCTCTATTATCTATTACCTCTGGTACTTTTCTCTGGACTATTGTACCAACAAAAACTGTTTGTACCCACTCTTATACTCACTTTTGTACTCACTATGTCTGTGAGGAGTTTTTTTGTTTGTGAATATCGGTTACATACAAAATATACCTATGCAAATTATTTTGTCTGTGAATCAAATTCACAGACAAAAAACTCATCACAGATATGGTGGGTATAAGGCGAGTACTAAGAAGAAGCTATGGTTGTACCAACTACCAAACCCCAATGAGAAATGAGAATAATCAAAAGCCTAGGGTAACTGATTGTCAAAATGCAAGGTTAAACTAGTAAATATAACCAAAGCGTGAAATCCGCTGTCCGATTCGATGCCGTCCTCGCTCATCCAACGGACTTTATCTTCTCACATACTCCAAAGCTTGCATCCCTGCGTAGCGTTGAACTTACCTCGCTGCGAATATATGTACTCTTCATCTAAACTGTTCCTCGCTCCTTGTTGATCAGCGCCAACAGTCTCTCTCTGGTACCTCTCTCTCTCTACATCCATTCGCAAGTCAAGCATTTAGAATTGAACGAGAATGTGCTATCAATCCTTAGTTCCGGTTGATGCAGCATCTAGCATTTCAAATTTCAAAATTTTGGAAGATTTCTTAGACTCTTAGCTATGTGGTTGAAGAAATGATAGATATTTAATTGACCGTAATAGTTTTTTTCTCTGATAAAAAAGGGCTGTTTCTTTCTTATGGAGTTAGGAGTTGCCCCTCGACTCACTTTTACAACTTTTGGCGTGGTTCCGTTTGGATTTCTTTTTACATATGCAATTCTGTATGCTCGTACCTCTTTAAACAGTTTTGTGAATGATCTTATCTATCACTATGGTATTAATAATTAACAATTACTCATTATAGGGTGGAATTGATTCAATATCACTAACATGGCTGAAGCTGCTGCACCCGTGGTTCCAAGTGATGAGTTGTTGGAGTGGGCAAAGAAAGATAAGCGCAGGTTGCTGCATGTTGTATATCGCGTTGGTGACCTTGATCGCACTATCAAGTATGCATTTTAAAGGGAAACGGTATGGCTTCTAAATCAGCTTGTTAACTATTTGTTGCTAATTGAAATTGTATTCTGTCATTAGGTTTTACACGGAGTGCTTTGGTATGAAGTTATTGAGGAAGAGAGATGTCCCAGAGGAGAAATATGCAAATGCTTTTCTTGGTTTTGGCCCTGAAGAGTCTCACTTTGTCGTGGAACTGACATACAGTACGTTTTGGCTTTTGTTTCCAGACGAATGTGATTTTATTGTTTGTTTGCGCTTACTGATGTCAGGACACTGTTCAACCTCATAAGTTTCATACTTTCATCACAAGCTTAAGGCCCATTTGTTAGTGTTATTTGGCTGAAATGGCTATCTGCTGAAGTTTTGGAAAGGAAGTCTCTAGTAACTTCTGTTTTAACCAAATAAGGGAGTGTTTGTGATTACTTCCGTTTTCAAAAAGTGATTTTTTTGAAGTGATTAGAGAAAGTGCTTAAAAGCACAAGTTGGCAGTGCTTTAGAATAGAAGTGATAAAATTGAAAAAGTTAAGTCGGACTGCTTGGCAAAAAAGTTATTTTTTATGTAATATTTTGTTAAACTACAAAAATGCCCTTGCACAAAGTCACAAACCATTTTTGAGCATCTATATAGGGCAAGCTTTAATGCCAATCTGGTCTTTCGAAGCTGGGAGATGTGGCTACATCTCTCCTGCAATTACATCGTCTAATCCAACTGAAATTCCGGTCTCGAAAATCGCAGCTTTGAAGGCAGAAGGCGCCATCTCGGAAAACCCTGAGCGTGTCCCCTGCAATGGCCGCTAGAAATATGATGCCGATGAAAGACATCACGGCAAACATCACTATGTAGTGAGTGCAATTTGAAAGCCGTATGTGCATCATCATGTGGCGGCGGTGGGTGGTGTCGTTCACGCTGGCAGCAGGCGTCACCATCCTTGTATTCCTTCCGTGTTCACACACACATGTGTGTGTATTATATGTGTGTGGAAGGACAAGGTAGAAAGGACAGACACAAGAGAGGTCTGACGCGGGAGGGTATTGACACAGAGATGGGGCCATGGGGGTGCTTTTGGTGTAAACTAAATAAATTTACCATTATAGTTATCCCTAAAGTTTGAATTATTTACAGAACCAAGAAACAGTTAGAAGCACCCCTACACCAACTCCAACTTCTAGCTTTTAAGTGCTTAATTGAATTAGAAGTAGATAATTTAAAAAAGGGATAAGGGTCAGATAGGGCCTCGAACTTGAAAAAAAATGTCAAATAAGGCCATATTTAGGATGCTCTGTCCGGCCGATGCCATTTGGGGCAGTTCCCGGTAGAATTTTTTGATGAAATTTTTTGAGAATCTTATTCATTAAGTCTATTTTACTCATATCAAATTTGAACTAAAACTTCAATCGGGAAGGCATTCAAATGAATTCTTGAAAATAACTGTGCAGTTAAAAGCGCAGTTATCTTCAAGAATTCATTTGAATGCCTTCCCGATTGAATTTTTAGTTCAAATTTGATATGAGTAAACTAGACTTAATGAATAAGATTCTCAAAAAATTCCATCAAAAAATTCCAGCGGGAACCGCCCCAAATGACGTCAGCCGGACATAGCATCCTAAATATGGCCTTATTTGACATTTTTTTCCAAGTTCGAGGCCCTATCTGACCCTTATCCCTTTAAAAAACTAATTTCATCTTTTTTAAGTAAAAGATGAAAAGTGCTTTATTAAAGTTGTTGCAAATGCTCCTTTAGTAAGTCAAAAGTGATAGATCAATCCAGGAATATTGAAAATTACAGAAATTATATCAAGAAACTAATGCACACTTTATTGATGAAGAACAAGAAACAATGGCCGAAGCCCCCAAAGAGAGAGAGGATTAGTCTCTAACTTCCCAGTCCAAGACAAAAGTCTAAACAACCTACTTGACCTCTCCCAGCTTATTCTATTTATACTAATCTGGTACACTTATATCATTATTATTAGTCTATTAGGCCCGACTCCTATCAATACTCCCCCTAAACATCCACCTTGCCCTCAAGGTGGGTGATAGGAAACAACCAAAATCTTCTTCTTTTCCTTCATCCTAGCACCCCTCCCTTTCCAATACTTGATTGATTGCTAGACCTTTAGCTTTGCTACTTCCATCTTCTTCCATATGTATTTCACAGCAAAGTTACACAGATGCCAGAACATTTTATCCAGAAATTTGATTCCTTCAGATTCTGCATAGCCTGCTACAACACAGAGGACAACAACTTCTTGCTTTTGAACACTTTCTTCTTCAATATCAGTAGATAACCCATGATAGTTCAGCAATTTTCCTTCTCCATTCTTATTTACCAGGCTCTTCATCTCCTTATAAGTTCCCAGTTGACTTAATGAATGATCTCCTTGTATAATTACCTCTCGCCCATGTACCTCCCATTTGATGGTCTGATTTTGGAAGTTAATCTCCGTATCTCCTAAGCTTATCAGCCATTCCATGCCCAACACCGTATCTGTTCCTCCCCATTCTAGAATATAGAAAGGTTGCTGTATTTTCAGTCCCTGTAGTTTCAATTTCAACCCTTCACATCTGCCATAGTTTGTTATTTGATTTCCATTACCTATCTGCACAGAATATCCATCTATCGTATGGTATGGTAACTCCAATTTTCTCACTAACTCTTGAGAAATGAAGTTATGGGTTGCACCATTATCAATAGAACTTCAACCTTCTGTTCTCCATACTCCCACTTCAATACTCCTTTCATCTTGAAGGTTTGAATGCTTGGAATCTCTTCCTTACTCCTTGAGTACAATTGCATAGTTTTGAATTCCATTTCATTTCCCTCTTCCTCCTTTGTAAGTTTGTATCCTTCGTGCCAGATTCAGACTCTTCTTCTCCTTCAGAATCCTCCATAAGAACAAATTTGTAGTGCTTCATTTTGCAAATATGATCTCGGTTCCAATTTTCCCCACATTTGAAACATTACCCTTTCCTACTCATCTCATGCAATTCATTTTGTGTTAATTTGGGACTTATCTTCTTTTGAACCGAGTTAGCTGATTCCTCCACCTTATTGTCATCAACTGAATTCTTCTCAGACCGATTCTTAGTTGTAGGATTAAAATTTCCTCTACTGCCATCTCCCCATTTGTTATAATTGTGTCCCCCTGTCAGATTACTCTTCCAACTCTTCTTCCCTTCTTCCTTATGCCTCCTGGACATTTTTTCATAGTTTTTGTTTTCAATCAACAAAGCAGTGTCCATGATCTCAGCCAGGTCTTTAGTTTTATACAGTTTTAGTTCAGCTCTTATGTCTTTCTTCAGCCCATTCAGAAAGATGCCCTTCATTACCTTTCTGTCCAGATTTTCTTGAGAAACAAATCAAGCAATGTCCATTTCAAATTGCTCCCTGTACTCCTTAATCGTATTCTTCTGTTTCAGATTCAGTAAGGTATCCAAGGAATTCTGAACCATCTCCGGTTGGAAACGCCTAGTTAGAGCCTTCTTCAACCTTTCCTAGGTTCTTTCCCGAGCTTGTTTCTCCCACCATTGAAACCAGCTGAGAGCCTTATCCTCCATAGCTACCACCTCCACTTCAATTTTATCTTCTTCTTCTTCTTCTTCTTCTTCTTCTTCTATATTATTTAGTCGGAAGTATCGATCGATCCTGAGCAGCCAGCCATAAGTATAATCACCATTGAATAAAGGTAAATCTACCTTTCTTCCGGTCCGATGATGATTTCCGTGTTCCCGCTTGCAATGGTGATGTCGATGAGTAGATGAGTAATCGGAATCCCCTTCCGATTCATCTAGACTCGCTGAATGTCTCATAGAATGATGATGAGATGTGCGATGATGATTTCCGTGTTCCCGCTTGCGATGGTGATGAGTAGCTGAGTAATCGGAATCCCCTTCCGATTCATCTGGACTCACTGGATGACTCGTAGAATGATGATGGTGCGAAGTTCAATGCGATGCGGAGGAGGCATGCGATCTACTTCGCGAACGACCTTGATCTCTCGCATCCAATCTGATGAGAATCGCTGTCAACTTATCCGTCGTTTGTTGCTGATTCCTATCTACCTTCTCATCCAGTCGGTTTTGGTTATTTTCCAACTCATTCATCCGCAAATCCGTCTTCGTCCGCGTCCAGACCATCCATAGAATCTACGTGCTCTGATACCACTGATAGATCAATCCAGGAATATTGAAAATTACAGAAATTATATCAAGAAACTACTGCACACGTTATTGATGAAGAACAAGAAACAATGGCCGAAGCCCCTAAAGAGAGAGGATTAGTCTTTAACTTCCCAGTCCAAGACAAAAGTCTAAACAGCCTACTTGACCTCTCCCAGCTTATTCTATTTATACTAATCTGGTACACTTATTATTATTATTATTATTATTATTATTATTATTATTATTATTATTATTATTATTATTATTATTATTATTATTATTATTATTATTATTATTATTATTATTATTATTATTATTATTATTATTATTATTATTATTATTATTATTATTATTATTATTATTATTATTATTATTATTATTATTATTATTATTATTATTATTATTATTATTATTATTATTATTATTATTATTATTATTATTATTATTATTATTATTATTATTATTATTATTATTATTATTATTATTATTATTATTATTATTATTATTATTATTATTATTATTATTATTATTATTATTATTATTATTATTATTATTATTATTATTATTATTATTATTATTATTATTATTATTATTATTATTATTATTATTATTATTATTATTATTATTATTATTATTATTATTATTATTATTAGTCTATTAGGCCCGAATCCTATCAAAAAGCTTCTTATTCGGTTTATTTCATACACAAGGAAAATAAGCCTGCTACTGAGCGCCTCAATCATCTTTACAAAAGCCATCTTAAAAAAAAGCCATCTATCACCACTCCTACTTCGTACCTAATTTGGAACTTGTAAACAATGAGGAATTACGAGTTGGGCAGTTATACTGTAATTGCATGATATGATTTTTGCAAACTTGAGAGTAAAATGGTTTGGCGGGAATGCTCTCAAAGCCAATGTTACATGTCCGAAGTCCCAACCTACCTGAGAGGATAGATCTCAACATAACTATGATCACACACTCTTTTAATTATATCAAAATGTGTAGGGTGCTCAAAATTGTAAAATTTAATAGTTTCATCAACTATTTATCAGATTATGGAGTCGACAAGTATGACATTGGAACAGGCTTTGGACACTTTGCTATTGCAACAGAAGATGTAAGTGCTTATTTTCTAAAGTTTAGGGGGGGGGACTATTTTTCTCATATGAATCTTTTTTCTAATGTATGATTTTTATTTTAAGGTTTATAAATTGGTTGAAGACATCAAGGCAAAGGGTGGAACCATAACTCGTGAACCCGGACCTGTCAAAGGTGGATCGACTGTTATTGCTTTCGCGAAAGATCCTGATGGCTACCTCTTTGAGCTTATTCAGCGAGGCTCTACTCCAGAACCACTCTGTCAAGTAATGCTCCGTGTGGGTGACCTGGAACGTTCTATCAAGTTCTATGAAAAGGTAATTTGTTTATTTATTAATAATTTCTTGGAAAATTGTTTTATTTGATGAATTATAGGGACCCGGGCAGAAAAGTGCTAATTTATAATAATAGCAGTATATAAATTGTGAGGAATAAGAGTTGGGAAAAACTCTGTTAGGCTTGGGCTTGGGGGAGAGAGGCACTCTGAAAAATGGTCTCTAGTTGCTTCTTCTTCCTTATTATGCTGGTTACAGCTTTCTTTGTATGCTGGATAATGATTTTCACCATTGTATTTGACTTCCTACTTGATATACATAAACTGTCTAGTTCCTAACTTTGGTATCAAAGCACTCGATCCTCGAGGAACGAGAGTCTCAAAAAACCATTGGGTGATAATTCCAAAGAGCAGATGGAGAATTGATTGAAACATTTGAAACGGACGATTGCTGAGACACGATCGATGATGGTTGAGACGATTGCTGAGACACGATCGATGATGGTTGAGACGATTGCTGAGACACAATCGAGGATGGTCGAACTACATAACTGGCTGATGGACCAAAATCATTGACGATCTAGAGGATGAGGAGGACGATAGACGTCGTCAACAGTCTGAAAGCCGGGGTCATCCTCATCGTGAGCAGATCTTACCAGTTCGCAGGCGGCGTCGCTAGCCGATTATTCCAGTTCGCCGATTTCATCGCAAACCGCTTCTCACTGTCGCAAACTCTATCGTTCCATCAGGAGTCTGCAACAACCTTCCTCTGAAGATAATTTTACCGATGGTGTGACAATGAACACAAGGAGCAAGCATCGGTTGCCGTGGTACCTCAAGCTTGCGCAATTGCTTGATTTCTCACTCGTAATGTTTCCTTCCAGTACATTTTCATCAAGTCAGTCTTGGAACCCAATCTGTTCAAGCTCATGGAACGCCGAGAGAGCTGCGAGTTGGTGGTCGCTCCAATGCGCAACACTGACAGGGAAATGTTGAACAAGATCTTCATCAATGGGCTGAAGGAAGAAAAAATGTGTGTTATGTATGTGGACATTGTTTTATTGACAACTGATGTGAGAGGAAGTAAGGGTTCTGGACTAGACATCTTGATATGTATATAGTTGATATTAAAAAAGGGAAAAAGTACATATATACCCCTATAGTATAGGTGCAGGAACAAATATACTCATGTTCTATTTTTCGGAACAAATATACCCCTGGACTTTGAAAAAGGTGCAAAAATATCCCTCATGTTTTTATAAAGGAGCAAATTAATCCTTATTAACTTTAAAGTAACAAAATAAATTTCGAAAAACACCAAAAAATTCGAAATTAAAATATAAAAAAATTAAAAAATTAAATATTTTTAGTATAAAATATTATTTCAAAAATTTACTATATATTTAAGATTCTTTCGAAAATGTGCTAACATATGTGTTGCAATGTAAAAAAATTATTTTTGCATTTTTTGCACTCTAAAATTACATATTTTGTATGATGATAAATAGCCCAAAAATTCCAAAATACTGAATTTATATACTAAAAATATTTAATTGTGATACAAAAACGAAAAGGGAGAATTGGACACAATTACATTTTTAAATTTTTTTATATTTTAATTTTGAATTTTTAATTTATTGGTGTTTTTTGAAATTAATTCTATTAATTTAAAGTCAATAAGAATTAATTTGCTAATTTATAAGAACATGAGGGATATTTTTGCACCTTTTTCAAAGTTCAAGGGTATATTTGTTTCGAAAAATAGAACAAGGGTATATTTGTTCCTGCACCTATACTATAGGGGTATATATGTACCTTTTCCTATTAAAAAATGTGGATCAAGTAGTAGCTAAGATGAACATATTCATCGTTGGTCTATCTTTTATTTTCCCCTCATTCTTTCCTTCCAATTTTCCAAAATGTGCTTCTTCGTGTCTTCTTTCCCTAGTATTCCTTGATCAAATAGACCCTAAGAGATTTGAGAATTTATCTGTTCACGTGTGTGTTCTAACCTGTATCTGTGTAGTAGTTGAGCTAGCTCATCTTTGAAACAATACCTGCTCTTAAAATGTACACAGTGAATGCAAATTTATGTGGTTTTCCCGTGCAGGCATTAGGAATGCAACTTCTGAAGAAAACAGACAGGCCAGAACAGAAGGTAACTAAGTTAGTTTTCCTCATCCATAAGTGAATTGTGTGTACTAACATATGAGTATCATTATGATGTTATCTATGGTTTGAACTACTACACAGTATACCATAGCAATGATGGGATATGCTCCGGAATATGAGACTACAGTTCTAGAATTGACGTACAATTACGGCGTTACTGAATACACCAAAGGAAATGCCTATGCACAGGTTCGTTTCACTTCTTCATCGTCATCTTTAATGTTCATTAATGAAGTTGGCCTTATTAGTGTTCTTCTCTACTCTAGTCAAGTAAAAAACATAAAGGTGTGTTTACGCCAAATGTTCTTTCTGTCTCAATCTTCTCCCAAAGGACTAGTGAGATGAAATTTGAAGCATTATCATGAATATATCCATTTTATGAAAATTATTAGAGAAGTCGGTTGGTAAGTTGAAACTTGACCCCCCACCCCCCAAAAATTATTGTGTCACCACATCTCCATCTCCAAAATAGAGTCAGGTCTGATAAAATTAAGCTCCTTTGTTATGTAGTAACAACATCCAAGCCTTAGTCCCAAAAGATTTGTAATGTAATGTGCCAAAAAAGTCACAAACAAGTTAGGTATGATAATTTAGTCAAGCCAACGAATAAATATAAAAAACTTGATTATGATTCATGATTTGTGTCAGGTGTACCTTAAAAATGTAAAAGTTGTACATCGGTCAAATATAACTGTTTTTCGGGATAATAGTTGTGATATAATCATGTTCCATTGTAAGATCAATATTGTAAAGTCAACTTGCAAATAAAGGAACATGACCTTGTCAGGTTCGTTTCCCTAATTGGTTTTTTTAGTACTACTTGTTATTTGTGTGGCTTACTACAAATTTCATGCTCTATCTAGGTTGCCATTGGCACCGATGATGTATACAAAAGCGCAGAGGTTGTTAACCTTGTGACCCAAGAGCTTGGCGGGAAAATCACTCGACAAGCTGGTCCCATTCCAGGGATCAAAACCAAAATCACTTCTTTCGTCGACCCTGATGGATGGAAGACAGTAAGTTTCCTTACTATATTCTTAGATTTTCTTTGGATGGAGGGGTTTTGTGGGTGAAAGCTTTGGAAGGCTAATATGGCATATCTTGATATCATTTGAGATTTTATAAAAAGTGAAAGGTTAGCACATTATGTGTTCGTATATGGGAAAACTATCAAATAGGCCCTCATAGTATAGTAAAAAACTAAAAACAGCAATTAAACTTTTGTACCATTTAAACACCCAATTATTGACATAGCTGCACACGTGGCTTTATTTTTGTTGCTGGGAAACCATTTCCTGTTCTACTTGCAACCAGAGAGTAATATACAAAGAATCATACAAGATAGATGGAAGCTTCATTAAACTTATAATCCTTGGAGATCTCTTGTTCTCTTGACCTGGAATCCTATTTGGTTGAAGTCCATCCGTCATTAATGGAGATTGAAGAATCTGTGTCCACCGGCACAGTGGCACTGTCCGGAGTAAGTCCAACGTGAGAAAGAGGATACTTGTGTGTTTGATTGTCCGAGCTATTGTTCTATTTGTAGTGATAATCCTCATCATAGTCGCCATCCCCGGTTTTAAAGCCAAAAAGCAAATCGCCACTGTTGATTCCGTTGATACTCTCCACGTAGGTGTCCACCTCAACCTAATGGCCGTGCGTTTCCATGTAGAACCCAAAGCAATTTATTCCAGATTTATTGATTAGCTCAGTGTTTCCATCTGCCCAACTTCCCGCATCTCGTCGCCTCCCTCCTGCGCCCAGCTTCTGCTTTCCCCGGCAACGTCCAAGCCACTGCCACTGCTGCCGCTGCCATGGCAGAGCTTCATCCTTTGAGCTCGTCTTCATTGGTGAGTCCTTTTTACAAGAAGATTTACTGAAGCCTTGGAAAAAAACACCGAAGGTTAATGACAAAAAAATGAAATAAAAAATAAAATATTGCTCACTCAGGCTAAGATTGATAGGTTGACCAAGAAAAGAAATAAAATAATGCCACATAGACAGGCAGACAGCCACACAAGCTCTTCACATGCTAACAGATTGCTGACCGGTTAAACCTCTTTTTTATTGGGTGTTCTTTGAAAGTTTGGGGGGTATGATTAGGTGTTTATATAGTACGAGGACTTAATTGCCATTTTTGCTATACTACCAGGGCCTATTTGACAGTTTCCTTTAAAACATTCCATTCACCTTTCATTCATTTTACGAAACGTGATAAGCGATCAGTGATGGTATAGCCTTCCCCCTCCTAACCCCTCCATCAAACATACGGTCAAAACAGTTGGAAACCCGAAACCCTAATTATACTATGCATGATGCAAACACTTACATACGAGATAGAACCTGTATACACTTATCTCTCTACCTGTGGAGGCAGCTAAATAATGAACCTCCGTCTGCATGCATGGCTATGCAAAATGCAGGCTAAGGTCATATGTAAAAAAATTGGTTAAGCATCATCAATTACTGTTAAACCGGCGGTATTTTGTTAATTAGGTTCTGGTTGACAATGAAGATTTTCTGAAGGAGCTGCAGTAACCACCACCACGTGGATGCTTTGTCTCAAACTCATCTTTCGATAAGAATGAGTTACCTATCTCCTTCCGTAGTCTGAATATTCTATGTAATTTTCAACTCTTTTAGTTACAAAACATAATACTCCAGTCCCTATAAAATTGTTCTCGTTGAGAGCATGGTGTATGTTTTTTTTTTTTTTGGATTAAGAGCATGGTCTATGTTATATTATCTTATAATATATACTTTCTTATATTAAGCATGCAAAAGCTGTAGTCTAAAGAGTAAAGAATACAACCCCTCACAACCAACTGTGTTCCTGAAAGTGAGGAACTCGACATTATGCAAATGGGATGGTGGTATTGTGGTCTCCCACTCTTCCCCTATACCCACCCGAGATCAATGGGGCCGGCAGTGAAGTGGCATACTGGCATCTGGGGTTAGGGGTGGACCATGGTTTTAGTCCCTGAAAATTAGAACCTTAATCGAAATCGACAAGCAATCATTCTTTAGATTTTAAAGGTGGTTTAAGTTTTGATTCTGATAGTGGTTTAGATTACTACTACACTAATACTTTCATGAGAGTTTATGTCCCGGTCTTCCATTTGATAGAATTCGAGGTGAAGCCTTCTATATCACGGTTTGGTGCTGGTTCCCACCCCCAATTTAAGCAGAACTAGAGCCCCATGAGATAGAACCAATTCGTTTTACGAGCATTCAAGAACACTAGTTATATCACTCATGTGTTGCACTATATTTGATTTTCTCGATCATGTTAGATAACTTTAGAAAGACATAATGATTGCACATCACAACATGTTGGATGAATATGGTTTTAATATAGCAAAAACCAAGGATTCGTTTCCCTTCATAGTGTGCTCATCAGTTACACAACACCAATCCACCTTCATCTTAGTATTTGGAGAATTGGAGGTGCCCATCGTTTCCGCTTAACTGCTTAAGTGTACGCTGACATTTATTTTTCATTTGAGAGTAATTCAGTTTGCTGATGAACATAAAGCATATTCCAATTCAGATATTCTCATCTCAGAAAAGCTCTTCCCTACCCCAGCCATTCTAAAACCTTATCTACACTTCTACAGTTCTACTTTTACAATTAGACATGGACCGGTTCCTAGGGTTGTAAACGAATCAAATAATTTGTGCTTGATTCGCGATTCAAATTCGTATGAGACGATTCGAATTCGGAAAATTCAAATACAAATTCAAATACGAATATTAAATTTGATTCGAGTTGTTATCAAATACAAATAAGAATATTAGTGTATTCAATTCGAATATTAATCAAATATATTTGATTAATAGTAATGGTAATATTAATATCAATGTATTAATATATTCGATTAATATTAATATTAATATTAATAGTGGTATAGTAATAACACTACAATAACTTTTAAAAGATAGCAATACTCTCAAAGTGTAGCCCATATATACTCCAAGCCCATTTAATAAGCCAGAATATAAATACGAATACAAATCATTTTTTTGGGTTCAAATGCCTTTCAAATACAATACAAATAATTATGTATTGGATTTAAAGAATAAAGTTAGAGTTGTTTGACTTTGGTATATACAATTATCAACTTTATCACACATTATAAGTATAATTTCTAATACGTGTGTGTTAGTGTTTATTTTAAAAAGTTTGAAATAGATTTATATTTATTAATCATAAAATTAATTCACTTTAGTATATATATTGTGCACCATCAAAAATGCAATAATCTAGAGAATTTACCCTAAATAGGACTAAAAACGTTTGTAAATTCCAAAATGGGATTGCCATGTTTTTAATTTCCAAAATGGGACTTATTACTGTCATGTTTTGGCAATACCAGACTTTAAACATGGCAGTATTTTCCAAACTTGACAGTAATTACTCCTATTTTGGGAATAAAAACATGATAGTCCTATTTTGGAATTTACAAACGTTTTTGGTCCCATTTCAGGAACTTTCCCAATAATCTATTAAATTTAAATTCTAAAAACACATATTAAGCCATATCATGCATTTACAACATAAGCAATATGGAGTATAAGAAAAGTTATTTTGAAGTGATATTTCACTAACATTTAACATATGCTCAAATCGATTCGATATTCGTATATGATTCGTTAAGTATTCCTATTGTTAAACAAATACAAATCGAAATTACTATTCGTTTCATATTTGAATTTGAATTCGTATTCGAAAAAACTAAACAAATACAAATACAAAATATCATTATTCGACTCGATTCGATTCGTTTACAACCCTACCCCTACCGGTCCCGGTCCGGTCCTGGGCGGACCTTTTGGGTTTGGCTTTGGGCCCGGGTTTCCACCGGGTCCAGGACGGTCCCCGGGTTTCTTCCTTTTTTTTTTGCTTTTCTAATTACCCCCCACCCCCCCCCACCCCCCCAAACACCCAGCCGATCCCGGGAAAAACAAAAAAAAAATTGAAAAACAAAAAAAAGACCCGAACCGGGCTCGGCTGGGCCGGTTCCTATTTTGGGTGACTTGAGCCCGCCCTGTGTAACCCTCGGGCCGGGCCTACTCGGACCGGTCTCTGGTCGGGCCACCGGACCGGACCGGTTCCAAACAATGCTGGGTCGGGCCACGGGCCGGTCGGCCCGGAACCGATCCACCACTATTTACAATTACTTTGCTATCAATATCACATACTCCTTCCACCTTAAAACCACCTTCATCACCCACCCTTAGTGATGGACCCGGGTCGGGCCTAGGCCCGATCGGGCTTTAGAAGTTGGGAGGTAGGCCCGGAACCGGCCCGGGTAACCCCCGGGTCGGGCCTCGGGCCAAATTCATTTTTTTCCCACTTAAACCCTGACCCCCCCCCTCTCTCACCCAACCCCCCAAACCACCCCAAATGGCTCAAAATACCCAGCCCGACCCGGGAATTCAAAAAAACATTGGAAAAAAATATATGGCCCGAACCGGGCCGGTTCCTTATTTTCCTGACCCGAGCCCGCACCGGAAAACCCCCCGGGCCGGGCCTACCCGGACTAGTCCTTGGCCGGGCCACCGGGTTGGGCCGGGCCTAACAGTACAAGGCCGGATCCGGTTCCGGGTCGGGCCACCCTGCCCGAGTCCACCACTACTCACCCTTAGGCTTAAACCCACTATTAGGTAGGCAACGTAACTTCTGTAAGATGCTTACAACTAAGTCGATCAGTTCCTCTGGTCATTATAAGGGTTACTTAACTCTTAGCTTTGGTTTGTGGTCCAGTTTTTTTAGAATGCCAATTCCAAAAATTAGATAAATAACCTCTATTTTTAGAATTTTTAAAAAGATGTTATAGAATATAGACTACTGTCAAGTGACAACAATTTTTTCAACACGAAAATGAACTAGATATGTTTACTACATCACTCGTTTTAAAGGGACTATGGTTTATTAGTACTATTACTCCGTATTTCTTTACTTGAAAAAGACATGGAATTGACGAAAGGGAAATTTCACTTCTGGGTATAAGTTCCATTGCATGGTTGTGTTTGAAATGATGCATATATGATGCATAAATAATAAATTAGTTTGTAGGTATTTAGTAAATGTAATCTTAGAACTTAGAAGTATGGATACCAAAGTCATTAAAACTTAGGGAAAAATTCTTGAGTAAAAAGGTTTGAAAATTCAAAAATGGGACTACCATATTTTTACTATTGGTTTGGATCCATTGTCGCCTAAAGTCCAAGTCATTTGCAATATGTTGCTCTAGAGACCTTTATGGAGAATGAATATGATGTCTATTTGATTTTCTTTGACTTCTTGATTCATGTTAGCATTTATATTTACATGAAATTACAACGCAGCTCTTGAAACTAAAATTTTATGCAATATCAAATGGTTTTTAGATAACACTTGGTAGATGCTTGAATGAAGTTATTTAATTTTCTAACCACATTCAAGAAAGAATTAAGTTGGTTTTAGACAATTGAAAAACCAAGGCTTCATTATCACCTGTACTCACTCATTTAAAAATATATACAAACATATTACTCCGTATACACTAACTGTCAACCTAACTATACAATTCACTATTTTTTTTAAATATGTTTTTACACAATATTGATTGTATATTCACATGTTTTGTTATGGAAGCAATTCTTACCACATTTGCCAAATGATATTGCATGCAGTTTCAAACAATTCAACTACACTACCATAAGCATTTCAAAACAATTGTGCATTTTCTCTCGCGCATCACACGTTTCAAAACTAGTTGATTAATTTAGATAAGTAGATATATACAAAGATTATGACCCGATCAGACCTACTCGTACCATGTATGGATCACAATTCTAAAAACCCGATGTTGAGTTATAATTTTTCAAAGCAATATAAAGGTTAAAAAAGACATTATATTGTTGGAACTAATAATTTAAAATCAAAATATATGTGAATGTTTCAATTTGCACTATTGATATCATTTGCAATTTAATTATATTTTCAGACAATCATGACCTGGAAAAGTATTTATTCTATAACTTAATTAAAGTACACCTCTGATTTGTTTGAAAAGAAAGATTAAGGAAGAAAATTACTCAAAAATCAATATAGAATCGTGAAAGAGAAAAATAGTATAAAAGAATGTCAATACAGAGACTCATGGTTAGTACTTGGTGATCCCTAAGGATGAATAATAAAGTAGAGAATGAATTTGTGGACGCATTTATGAGAGAAAATGATTTTGTAAATTATAACTTATAAATGCATTATCTTTTCATTTTTGGGACGCAAAACATTATTGGGAGAAGAATTCTCCCTTTACTATAACTTTATATTTATATTTGCATTAATTAATAATAATATGCGCTTTCGAAATAATTTTTAATAATATAAATTATTAATTATTTGAATATATATTAAAAATATTATGATGCCGCTTTTTTTTCCTATAAATTCTGTTATTTGAGACATAAAAATTTGACATTAATTTTTTATGAGTTAAATATTAAAAAAAACTTGATTTATGAGTTATATAATAAATTATTGAGTTTCTGGTGGTAGTAGCTCTATATAACTTTTGTTATATTTTTGTATCGTTGAACATTATTTTCAAAGTATGCATCATACCAGAATTAGGTAAGCTGCCTCGATCTTATGTGGCACTCGCGAGAGCATGTCTCCCGATAACTCGTCCACTTTCGAACTCTTGGGTGTCCGTCCCTATACGCGGTGATAGTGAGGGAAAGATCGACCATTATATTACCACTAGGATGCCTCCGGAGTGACCCCAACTCTCCGGGGCAGAAAC